TAATAAATGGGCAGGTTAGCTGAAGTAGACCTAATTAGGGTGATTCTTCCTCCAAGAGAGATAATTTTTCTTCCAAGATGCAAGTCTCTTTTCAAACCTTTCCACAATTGGAGTCCAAAAAACTTCCTTTTTGAGGATTATTTCCTAGGGGAAGACCAAGGTAAGTTAGAGGCCAATTCGACACTTCACATTCCAAAGTGTTTGCACATGCAAGGATCTCACTTCCCCCATATTCACACCTACAACACAACTTTTATCAAAGTTTGCTTTGAGATTTGACATTTGCTCAAAAAGTTGGTTTGCAGAGTCTCTTTCTGTTCTGCATAGAGTGCAAAGGACATTATCAACAACATTTCTCCTTGCCATTGGCTTACCTACAGTCAAACATAAAGGTAAGGGCAAGGGCCAACAACTCTGCTATTACTGTGTTCTCCTCCCCCTTAGGGACCAAGAAAGTGAGAAACAAAACAACACTCAGTCCTCCATCTTCATGTCTGAAAGAAGTTACCAGCCAAGGTGGCCCTGGGTTACCAATAGAAGTCATGAAGATGAACTTGAGATGAAGATTGTAAGATGACAGATCAATTTCTGATGATTGAATCTATCAAGATGCTTCTGGATTGACAAAATTAAACTAACCAACTGAGCAATTAGAAAATACAAAAGACAAACCAAGACTACAACTAGCAAGAACCAGACTGAGTCTGCCCCAGCTACATCTATGAACATCTCAGAAGTATCCCTATCTCTAATATTTGTACTCTTCCTCCTGTAAATATATTTTTTATTCACATCACTTTCTTTTTTTGTCTCTCCATCTCTAACTTTGCTAGTCCTCCTTAGTTCTTAATTATGGAACAGGCATTCAAATTTTCATTGCTGAAAAGCTACTGTGGGTAAACATGCTCCACCTCAATTGGGACTGTAATAGTCCCTCTTGTTTTCTGCTGCTGGAATACCAGTATCCTTGTTCTTCTCCCCACCTCTGGCATCTTTACCATAACCCTTTTTTTTTCTCATCTTGTCCACCACCAGCCTTCTCTTTCTTCTCTCCTTCTCTGTCATCCTCTTTTTTCTTCTTACTGCCCTCGTCTTTACCGCCTCCATCATCTTTCTTTGCTAGAACAACCTCTATGTACTCGCTATTTGCAATTGGATTCCTCAATAGTGACAAGCTGTCTGCAACTGTAATGTAAATGAAGTTAGTGAAACTTAGAATGCAATAGCACAGTACTGAAAAATTTAGAAGTGACACTGCTTCCATATGCCCCATTGTATAAGGGTAGTAAAGATGATAAACCTCCATGTGATCTTTTTACTTGTACTAAAACAGGAAGCATGCCAAAACACCTTGAATTGATTATTCCCTACTTAACCTTAGGCTGTGTTGGTTTGATAGAAAATAAGAGAGAAATAGAAAGTTGAGGAAAAGTTCTGAAGGAAATTTACAATATTTGTTAAGAACTTTTCCTCAACTTTCTGTATCTCTCTTATTTTCTATCATACCAAGCATATCCTTATAGAATCCATGACATCCTTGGGGAAAGGAAGCTAGAATCCATAGGTCAGAACATGATAGTAGAAGCTGACTGGAAGTGAATAAAATATTGTTTAATTGATTCCCCACTGACCATTCATATAAAACACGTGCTAGCCATGTGCATCTCACATTCTCAATACATTATTATTTTATTTTTTATGGCTGTATCTCATACATTAATTGAAGTTGGTTTCCCTTAATAAGACTGAGTTAAATCTTATTTTTTTATTGTATCTTTTAATTGGTTGGGACTAATCCTTTATTTACAGTTTTTAAGATCCTTTTGAGATCTGTATATTACATTTTTTAGGTACATGCTGCAGGTTTGTAGGAATTCCAGATGCCATTCTGGTTGTCATCAGTTATTTTATTTATTTACTATTTTTTGTGGTTGAATTGAAAACTGTGGCTTCTTTGACATTTCATTATAAAATCACTGCAAACAATTGCTTTCAAGTATATAAAAGACAAGGTTAATCTTAATTAAGGCATTTTTTCATCTCACTTTTGTTTTAATTTAAATATTTTCCTGCATAAAAATTTTGTCCTTGTTGCTAAGAATGTTATTATAATTTGTTCTTCATCCATAACAATGACCACAGAGGTTTTATTAATGAGAAGAAACCCCTGCTATTGGGAAGATCCAATAACAAGAAGAATACAAATATCAAGATACATCCTTTTACGTAATAATCAAAACTCAGAGTCTCAGACTGTACTAGGCCCCAAATACTCTAATAGAAGTTCCTTTCTACCTACACTTCCTCTGGGAAGGATATCATCTAGAACATTGGAAGGGCGAGGGATCCACCTATAAGGCCATTGTGAAGGTTCTGTGGGTCTAGGCCTCTATGGTTTTGAAAGTTGAATGTGATAATGGGATCTGAACTGAACTGTTCCCAATCTGGTGACTGGGATGGCTGGAAAAGGAGTCTATGAGGTTGCCCTCAATGATGGTGAAGTCTGATCTCCTGAAAGTATGAGGAAGGGATATACTGCTCCGAGGGCTTCTACTTGAGGACAATTCTCTTTCTATTTGACTGATGTTGGTTTATGTCTGTTCTCTGTCTGCTTTTAGGGAACTTGTTGCAATATTTGTAACTGGTCTGGTAGTTTCCAGATCCTAGAAGACAGGCTTCTCCTACTACTTTGTCGGTTTGTCCTTATCTGAAAGACTTTTAGGAGTCGCAACAAAAAAAATCTGGATGCCAAGAGTATGCTTAGTTTGTTACGCCACATTGGGATGTAGTACAGGGTTGTGCCTTTCCTGATTCTAAATGTGTCCTATGAATGTATTTAGTTGCTTGCTATCACTAAAGCCGATCTTTTGCACTTAAACCAACACAAAACTGCACTTTTGCATGCCTGGTATCACGGAAACACCTCTTTATCTCTACTTGTGATTGACCACGGAGGTTTTATACTTTTACTAACGAGAGAAGAAACCCCTACTACTGGGAAGATCTAATAACAGGAAGAATACAGATGTCATCATATATGGTCATACAGCATATGCTGATTCATCCTTTTACATAACATTCAAAATTCAGAGACTGTACTAGGCCCCAGAAACTCTAAAATAAGTTCCATTCCATCTACACCTCCAGAAAGGTTATCATCTAGGACATTAGAAGAGCGAGGGATCCACCTAATGAGCTACTTGGGGAAGAGGCTAGAAAATCCTCAACAAGAATCTTAGATTCCAATGTCCTTCCTAATTAGAAGATCCTACTACCACTGGACTGAAATCAAATAATTTCAACTGGAATCAGCCGTAGTCCCCACTACACGGGGTATAGCTGCATGAATCCTGTCCCACCATTGTGCTCTATCAAGAGCACCTGACTGTCCCCTTTCATCAATAAACCTCTTCACCCAGAGACGGCTAATTTTGGCTCATGTGCAAGGGCAAGCAACTCTGCTCTCAGAGAGTTGCCTTCTCCAACTCATCATGAGAAACTCAATAAGGTGGTACCTTCATGGTTCCTAAGAGCACCATCCACTTCTGTCTTGCATAAAGAGTATCCATCAAAATTCAGCTTAATTGGCCCATTTTTCATGTTCTGGTGTTTTCAGGCGTGAACAGTCTACCTTAGTTGTTGCCTTGCTTATAAAATCCTCATTTTGGCTATGCTTGTATAACAAAGAAGCTGAGGCAACAAGGCTTAATCTTTAGGCCCTATAGACCCCAGCATGTGACCATTTTGTTTGGGAATTTACCCTTTGCAGTTTTGTGAGGATCTCTTCACGGTTTCAGCTTCCTTCTAAGTATTAGCTCCTCTGACACCTTTAACACAGGACACTGCCAACTCCAGATCTTGTGGGCAGTGTAGGTAGCAGATCCAAGCTCCACTGTGCCCTTTTGTGGCATCTAGGTCCGTGTATTGGTGTCTCTATCAAATGAACTTGCATATATTAATTATGAGAATATTGGAATTCATTTCACACACATGCACACACTAGTGCATGTGCTATGCATGTTTACAAGTAAAAGGGCAAAGATATCTCTATCCGTGTATTGATGTCTCTATCAGATGAACTTGCATATATTAATTATGAGAATATTGGTATTCATTACACACACATGCACATGCAAGTGCATGTGCTATGCATGTGTACAAGGGCAAAGATATCTCTATCCGTGTATTGATGTCTCTGTCAAATGAACATTCATTACACACATGCACATGCAAGTGCATCTGTTATGCATGTGTACAAGTAAAGGGGCAAAGATATAAGTTGACATTATATAATCAAATTTAACTTTTATGACTTGCACCAAACCCAAGTATCTGCTTATATGGCATAGATATATATAGATAGACTAAAAAACAATTAATTAGAAAATTGAAATTTAAACTAGGATGCACATAATGCAAATGATTTCTCTTCCCCTGTTGGAAGAGTTAGAGGCATTTAAATTAACACACAAGTATCCTCCATCACATAACACATATCTAGTTCCTCGGAGACTCCTTTGTATGCTTTTAGGCTCCGTTTGATTGCAATACGGTATTTATGTATTTTCTGACATTTTTGTACTTTAGAAAGAGAGCATTACTGTGTCTATTTTTTTGATACAAATTTGTATTCTTTTGATAACCAACTTTTTAACCAAAGTTAAGGCATTGGAGCATAAGGTAGTTGGAGCATTTAATGATGAGCCCACACTTAGCACCAATTTCAAGCAAACAAGATGAGTGCAAAAACGGTTGAAAATCTGAAGCGTGTTGGCGTTCATGAACTAAAAAAAGAGTAAAATATGCAGTGTATATATTTGTGTTTGCATTGCAACCAAATGTGTTCATTGGTAGAATAGATACTTATTCTTCTTTACACATGTTCTTTACAATGTAAAGGTTACAACGACACAAAAAAGAAACCAAGTACATGTATTGATTTTCATTGATGGAATAGATACTTATTTCTGCGTTATGTTTTATATTTCCTTTGGTGGCAGGTTTGCACACAACGGTCCTGGAAACGGCCTTATGGTGTGGGTTTACTGGTTGCTGGCTTGGATGAGTCTGGAGCTCACCTTTATTATAATTGTCCAAGTGGCAATTACTTTGAGTATCAGGCTTTTGCTATTGGCTCTCGTTCACAGGCTGCAAAGACTTACCTGGAGCGCAAGTTTGAGACTTTCATGGACTCATCCAGGGAAGAACTGATAAAAGATGCACTCTTTGCAATCAAGGAGACCTTACAAGGCGAGAAGCTGACCAACTCAATCTGTACTGTTGCTGTGGTTGGAGTGGGGGAGCCATTCCACGTCATGGATCAGAAAACTGTACAGGAAGTGATCGACTCATTAGAGATTACGGAAGAGCGTGCTGACCAGGGTGCAGCGATGCAGGAAGATAGGAGCCCAGAAACTGCCCCAATGGATATCTGATGATGGGAGAGACAGCAGCAGACTTGTGTCCCCAGCCTGTTATAGAAGGGAGCTAGGGTAGTTCTGCGAAATGGAACAAGGGAATCGGGTGGTGCCAACAATTTTTTTTTTTTTTTTTGTTTTTTTAATTACCATGGAGCTCATTAGCATTCGACGTCATCACTCAGAGGAAGAAAACATACTTTTTTTTTTCTTTTATGTTGGATCCATGTTAAGGTTATTCTGTTGCATGCTTGGGTTAATTTCCTATTTCAGTTTGCTATATGGAACGCCTTGCCTTGAGAAACAGACAAATTATGCACATGAACCTCGCTAAAGAATTTCTTTCAAAAGCGGTCTTTTTCTTTTGTATTTTCGGAATTGATTCGTGTCTTCTTCCAATATTCGTATGCAAAAGCATATGCGTAGATTGTTCAATACTTAAACGGAGAAATATCTGCTGCAGGCTGCAGCACTGCAACCTCCAATAAGATGCGGTCACGCCAGTGTTTTCCCTAGGCTATGTTTAGTTGTTTACCCTATGAAACAGAAAGTTCTGGGAGGATTTTTAACGAACTTGGTGAAATTCCTTGAAGCTGCCTCTCAATTTTCTGTTTCTCTTATTTTCTATCAAACAAAACACAGCCTAAATTGAAAGTACTCGGGCAATTTCTATGATACTAGAAAGATGTCGAGATCGGATTGAGTGGTATGTATGCATTTTTGGCTTTCGTGGAGAAAAATAATTGGTCCTACAGCCGAGCAAAAACAGCTACCAAATTCATTTATTTGTATTGAAAGATGAGGGATTGACGTGGATTGTAGTGCAGGGAGGGATGCATGTCGGAAACATTTAGAACCGACCCGGATCTTTTATCCACTGGACGTAGCTCACAAAGACAAAGTAAAGATGCAATCCAAGAATCTGAACCTTCTCTAGTGCGCTCCTGTTTCTTATGATCCATAATTATATATACCCTACACCTCTGAAACAGAGGCAAAAGGGAGTGAGGTTGTAGAGTCTGAAGGCAGTGTCTAAAAGGTTTTGAGGACAACCATTTCAGTACTAAAGTAAAGCTGCAGTCAAGAAAGAGTACGAATGGTTTTTAAAACGGGACCAGACAAGGAACTGTTCTGGGTCCAGTTCCTGGGTTGAATGGTCCAACCGTTTGGACTGAATGAACAGATGAACTGTTCTGACAAAAAAATAAAAATTTAAAAGAAAAATAAAAAATAGTCAAAAATCGTTGTTCAGGTCGACGGTTCGACCGTCTGAGTCAGTGATTAACTGACCAAATCAACAGTTTTTGGCCAAAAAGCAGTTCTGAGTTGAAACAGAACCAGTCAGGTGACCATTTTCTGGTTTTTTTGGTCTGACTGCCTGATCCCAGTTTTGAAAACACTGATAATCATAAAAGAGCTGGTGAAGAGCTTTCTATTTTTTGCTCCATGGGGTTACACAACAGGGGATAGTCCATCCCCCAGACCCTAAACCCCCTCCCCAACAAGACCCTATTGTAGGCAGGGTTCAATCCCAAGTATCTGTTACGACTTACAACCAGCAGGACTGCAGGAGACCTTAACAACCGGCTGGTTGACACTTTGTGGTGAAGAGCTTTCTTGAAAGCTGCTATTTGTATTAAAAAGCTTGGCTGTCTAAATTCAACAGCAGGTTCTTTCCCCATGAGGCCATGACATGTTAGTTCACACAGTTCTTGTAACAGTATTGGTCTTAGATGCATTGAATGGTGAACTAATATGTGCTGTCGAATGTGGACAGCCAAAGTTTTCTCATGTGTAGCATGTGTAGTTCTAACTGAAAAGATCATGGATGGATTTATAAAACCTTTATGATAGACTCCAATCACCGGTCAATAAGGCTGCAAAAATGGATGATTGCCACCCACTCACATTGCAGCTATCCTTTTCTTCTGAGAAAGACTTCTTTCTTATGATCTGTAGTTGGACAAATAAACAATGCTTAACTTCTCTACACCATGGTCATCTCTTCCATTGACATCCATGTCAAATAGTCCTTCCACGTTCAGCTTATTTTGCAAGGTGAACGGAGTTTCAAGTAATTAAGGTGGTATTTGGTATTGTGGTGTTGTATTCTTATTTTGCAAGTACTACATAAGTGCTTTAACCTTGACCTTCAAAAACATACAAGCTCGAAGATTTAACTTTACATTGGAAAGCTTATTATTCGTAGTTTTGTATATAGGTGCATTTGATGATGTTTCTTATAATTGGAGGTCTTTCTACTTCATTTGTCCTATATGGCGCCTAATGGTATCTACATGTTTGAAATTATGTTGAAACGTCTTATAATTGAAAGTTAAAACGTCATGATTCAAACTGAAGATTCTAGCTTGAAAGCACCAAGGTGTCACAACTTTTGTCATTAAAATGAACTGATTGATGTTAATGCCAAATTTATTAAACGAATGTGAATGATGATTATTCAAAAGTTGTGAGTGGTGGGCTGGTGGCTTAGTTGGTTTATTAACTGGATAGTCCCAGTGAACCGGGTTCGAGTCCCATTACCTATTTCCACCTACCTTACATTGAGGTTATTATAGAAGAAGGCTGGGGCCTATAAGCCTATTAGGAAGTGTGAACAGGAGTTTCCCTTACAGTTCAAATAACATAGTTCCAAACTTGAAAAGACCAAGTACCAAACAACTACTACGAGTTAAATGAAGTCAAACTCAAGGTTCAAAATATCTTTTTTCAAAAAAAAAAAAAAAAGAAACAGAGGTTCAAAATATCAGCTTTCAGGGTCATTGATACATTGAACACTTTGAATTGGGTCTACGGTACAATAATTCTGTAATGATTATATGAGCATATCAATACTTTAAACCAAAGTTGAAAATATCATAATCTATCGGTGTGCATCATACATTTAAATTGCTTATGGAAATGAAAAATACGGAAATCACTAGGTTCATATTCATGAAAATGGCTAATAAACCTGTGAACTTGGCAACTTGACCTTCAAAATTTAACGAATCAATATAGTTGAGCTAGCTAGCTAGCTATCCTATGGTTGGGAAAAAAGACAACGGAACTAGCTAAGCCTATAGATCATTAACTGTCAATGATCCAAATTACGATCTTTACATCTGCGGGCGGATGCAACAATGGTTAAGAAACTTAGTATTCACAAATCTAGGCAGTGAACAATCGTGTTCATCTGTTAAACAATTCGGTAGTTAGTTCAAATAAAAGCATAAAAAGTTGCATAGAAAAGGTAGAAACTTTATAATTAAGACTCGAAATTTCCCTATCAGAATTCCCAGGCCAAAGAGTAGTCTCAGATAAAATACTAAACTGCCCCAGAATGCAACTCCCTTTCAGCTGCCCTTAGATTGCAAGATTGACAACCACCAACAGGCCTGTTATTGACAGATTTCAGGAACAAGGAGGCCTTTGACCTTCATATGCTTGTACATCCACTGCCAATTCTCTGGTGTGACTTCTCCCCCAAGAGAACGAATCACAGTCCCGCCACTGCAGGAACCTATTTTGCAGCATTCCTCAAGGGGCAGTCCCTTTACCAATCCAAATAAAAACCCGCTTGCAAAGAGGTCTCCAGCTCCAGTGGCATCAATTGCTTTCATTTCTCCAATAGCTGGAACTCTTACTACCTGAAAGATGGTAATAAAAACATCAGAAAAGGAATGAAATGGAAAGAAAAGAAAACAGTGACAAAGATATCATACTTGCGTTACATTCTTGTTCTCTTTGCTTACCAACACAAAAGCGCAATGATGAATTGCTCAACACCTAACATGCTGCCTCGCATGCATTGTGTATGCCTTTCACAAGTGCTTAGGAAAGGCAACACAAGCTGGGGAACATATACAAATAAAGCTAACCACAAGTACACAAAGATGCATGTCAATGGGAAAAAAAATCCATGCATGCCTAGTTTCTTGGAGGAATAGCTGTCCTTGTGCATTTGATGCTATATGCTATTGATTAAATACTGATGCATTTGCCCTTACCTCTTTTCCATGCTTCGCTATGCATCCATTAGAGCCTAGTGTCACAACAGCCCATTGGCAATGTTTGGCAAGAAAATTCAAAGCTGCCTCAGGATCAGTGTTTTGTTCACCTCTAAGATGATTCAAGAATGATTACAGTTAGTGAATACAAAATGATCAATCCAATATTCCCATACTTGGACAAGACTGGGCAGTTGAATCTTCCAGGTCCCAGTAAATTTGATGGTTTTCACGGGTTGAAATATCCAACTGCCCGGTTAATCAGTAAAACTGTGACCCAATCAGCTTTCTGGTTCTGTCCAGTCCAAGTCTGACAACACGGGACCAAACCATCAATAAGTATGATCTAGCAAGGTGGGTTCCTACCATAAGATCTTTATTGTACACTTTTATACATGATCTCATAAGCCAATATTCACTCATGAATATTATGTGACTAGAGTCAGCCAACCTCTGAACAATGAAATAAAGAAATTTTTGACAGGCTATGATTTTTATAAACTAAAAATAATCAAGTGGCCCGCCTCACCTTAGCAGCTCTTTGGCTTCATCCTCATTGGCAAAGCAGAGGTCAATATCCCCAGATTCCAGTAATTCTAGAAGGGGAGACTTAAAGTTTCGAACCATCTGCCCATAGTTAAATATTTCAAAACAGATAAGATTAACTACTCCATTTGATAGCTTGGGCATTGACACTTGCAAGAAAAAAAGGGTTAGATTACCTCAAAACTGGCCAAATCCAAGGAGATACAAACTCCTTCTTGTTTGGCAATCCTAATTGCTGCACGAATAACTTCTAAATTGTGTACTGCATACCTCATTACTAACCACTGTGAATTAACATCAGTTAATAATCAGCAGAACTTGCAATAGGCAATTAAACATAAGTAACTCCTAATTAGGATATATTTATATTTTCAGTACCATATGGCACACCAAGTATAAATAGAATATCATATGCATGTGTGCAATCCTTCATGAGCTTGCTATCTGTAATGATGGATCTCACCTTGGCAACCTTATGGCTAAAGACTGCCTAGTTATGCAATTACCTCAAATCTAAAGATATTTAGATGAACCTTTATGAATCTCTTTTACCATCACAAAGAAATGTAATAGATCAACTTGGGTTGATCTTTCGTTTTTTGATGGATAAATTGGGTTGATCTTGCACCCATGAATTCTCATTGGATGCAATCATACACAAGAATGGTTGGTTGTAGACTTCTACCTGGAAAAAACATCTTATACCATTCTACTTACACACAGGCACAACAAATAATAGCTATATTAGATTATATGAACTATTTTACTTGCAAAATAAAGTAAAATTTAATAAGGAAAGAAGAAGAAAATCATTAGATTTTCAAAACCGATCTGTAAATGTTTTGCTCAAGTAAGAAACGCATCACCTTGGAGTCTCTAAAATCCTCTCTAGTTAATTCATCAGCCTGAAACATAGGCCAAGAAACAAGATGAGAAACACATTCCCCGCAATTTTCATCAGCCAACAAAACCTTTTATCATTTTCATCTACTTATCCATGTTGCTGATCAGTAAACCTATCTTTGAAGACCCAAAAGACAAATTATAGAAGAAACAAGGCACCTGAAGTTTAACAGCATTTGATAGGCATGGCCTCATTGTGCGGTTTCCGAAGGCATCAACCAAGCATACACACTGTGGTGAATAGTTAATTAGTAGAGTTAACAATTGAGAGACATTTCCAAGAAGCAAAAACTTCAACCGGATTAATCAAGACTTGTTGACATGCAACTCACCTGGGCGGTGGGCCCCTGCTTCATCTTCAACCCCGAGAGGTTCACTCCATTATAGGTCATGTTATGTACAAACAGGCGGCCTTGCTCATCATCAGCATATGCCCCAATTATTCCAGATGTGATCCCAAATCCTGCAGTTAGACCTCGGATTGTATTAGCAACACTACCACCGGCTATTGTCTTCATAGGAGATGGGTCATCAGGAGACGGGAGGATGTGGGTTTTCAGCTCATTCAGTAAATGTTGCAGTTCCTCAATTCCAACCTATCCAGGAAAAGAAAGGAAATTTACCAATTCTTATGAAACATAGCAAATTTTATCTTCTTAAACCCTCTGCATCATTGACGATAGATGCATATAAAGAGAGAGCAAAAGCTATTCTCTGTTATTAACGTAGTCTCCCTTCGTCCTTTCACAACCCTCCCTCCCCCCCGAAAGTATTATTATCAATCTCCAAGAGAAAAGGCAAACCAAAAAGGAAGAAAAGAAAGCCAAAAACATAAATTTGGAAATTGGAATCGAAAGATTCCCTTTAAACCCATAAACTACAACTACATAATAAGAATCAAAATGCGATAGTGAACTAAACTTGGGCATGGTAAATCTAGTACAAGGAATTACTGAAAAAGGGGTCTTGAATCTTGATGGCTCTGAAAAATTGAGGCTCAAAACTTGTTATCGATAGAAGTACAATAGGAAGATAAATTCCAAACCATATATACAATATAGAACTTGTACAAACTGAAAATAAAGAATAGGAAAAAAAAAAGAATCAGTGTAAAATTAGTATGAGACGCTCCAATCCAATGCCCACAGAAGAATTTAGAGGCTATGTTATTTTAATTATTAAGGATCGCTACCGTCTGACTTGAAGTACCAAAAGGTCAAAATCTTCCACAAATATATAAAACATATAAGAGACACCCAAAAAGGGCAAAAGCATATATATCAAATTATGACGGTTCGAACCCATGAAATACATAGCAATTAAACAAAATTCCCAGAGATGGGTAGTAAGGATGTTGGGCTTACTGGTTGAGAGCCACCTCTCTCTCCAGGGATTTGATCGAGCAAAGAACAATCTACCTTGGCAACATGATCAACAAGGGCAGATGGTTGGAGTCCTAGGATGAGAGGAGCCTGCCCCTGCTTCTTGGGCAGGGGGAATGGTAGTACTTCTGCTCCCATATCTCCTCCAAGATTTCAGAGCAAGCTCCCTCAGTCTCAGCTCAGTTGCCCTCGCCAAACTCTCCTGCTTTATATTATATTACACCGAGTCGCATCATCTCCGGGGTGACTACTTCCATACCAAAATTACCCTGCATTGAAAAAGAATATAACGATTTGCCCCGTAAAACACGTAGACGTGCTACTGCCGAAGTGGTATGGGTACCATCTTTTTTTTCCTAGTAGCAGAGTCAAGTAGGCAACGGGATGTATGATGTATCCTATTTCAGCCACGTTGGAGAGTGATGTTGACGTGGCCAATTCGAAACTACCCATCCACTAGGGATAATCCACCACAAATTTCCTTTTAAAAAATTTTCTTTCCACTTTCCCTTTCCATCTAACCAAACATAAACTTTGATAGATCCCTTTGCATCATTGCATGTATTGTCGTCTTGTTTTGAGAGGCACGGATTTGTCTCACTTCAAACTTTGAAGTGAGAGTTCAAACTCGACCCGAAGTCACTCACAGTTCACCCAACCCATAAAAATATACAGCTCACCCAACTCGAACCCAATTGAAAACCTGATTAAGTCCCTGACCCTAACCCGGTAGGGTCATTTCAGTGCAGCCTTGCCACTTAACTCCGACCAGTACAATAATTTGTAGCTACAGTGTAGAAATAGGTGACAAATGATAAAAAAAAAACAATTTTACCTAAAAAAAGAATAACCACTATGGCCCTGTTTGGCGTGTCTTTTCACGTAGGCCGTTGGTTTTTTAGAAGTCCAGTAGCCCGTGTTTTAGTCTTTTCTCATTTGGTTGAAAAAAGATTTAGTTGTCAAAAGCTGCATTTCCGAAAAGATACGGGGAGCCCATTTTGGGCTATTTTTGGGAAGCTCCAAATAGAGCTTTTTCACATTTTTTCAATTCATCTATGTGCGAAAAGACACACCTTAACCAAATTGTCTACAAATTACTAAGATCTTAATGCAAAAGTTCACATCATATTTTGATTATTAGGTCTACCAAAAGATCTTCTAAAAAAGACTTGCCAAACAACACCTATGTAATTGTAAATCATATCTCCTTAAAAAATGACAATCCAAAACCCAATTAAGTCTATCCTAACCCTAACCCGATACTGCCATTTTAGTGCACGTTTACCACTTAACCCGATCCACGAGCATACAATAATTTCTGGTTGTGGTATGTATTAAGGTGGTGAAAAAAAAAGGTAATTACTATATAAAATTATATTTCCTTAAAATAGAATATAGATAGAGAGAGAGAGATGGGATCTCTTATCCACAAGAATTTTGTCCACTCCTATCTACAAGACATTTCAGATGTACATCACATCTTGAACATCTTGTTGGGATCAAGTGCTTATTATTATGCCAAAACCTAGAGATGATGGTGAGGGCATAAGTCTATTTCCTTTGTAGAGCCTTACTTTTCTTTAGACTTGGTTTGGAATGAATACAATTATAAATATATAGAGTGCAAAATCTTGTATTTTGTATTATTTTATATATATTTATATTTATATTCTTTTTAAATTGAGCCTTATGTGCATAGCACCCCATATATGAGAGACTTTATAATGTACACATGGCACATTGGCAGGGGGAGAATGTTAAGACCCATTAGACATGAGTCATAAGATGCTAATTATTACATTAAAACATATAGGATCAAGTGCTTGTATGTTGTCATTTATGAGAAGATGTTCCCAATGCAGATGTATTGGGGGTAGGAGATTTGGTTGCATAATTTTTCGAGTTTTAGGCATTGGACGGGGCCTTGTATCCGTTGTGAGCACATATGCAATTAATATTTTCTTGCAAAGCACCAATAAAACATAGACATAGCAACATTTCCCTCAAATTCAAAATATTGGAATTTTCATTCAATTGAAATACCATGTGCTCTTTAGATAAAACATGGTATTCGCTTGCAATCAATTTGTATAAAACGTAGTTGTAGATAAAGCTGTAGGACATAAAATGTAAAACAGAGTAAAACACATAAGACATAATTCGAAATACTAATATCACAATCTTTTATCTTTTAATTCAAGATTGAAAAAACTAATCAAACTTATACAATGATTCAAACTCGATCAGCATTGAACTTTAATTGAGCTTAACCAAATTCGAGTCTGAATAATTGTTCGATTAAAGCTTGATTCTATTGTACCTCTCTATTTGAGAATTGGGAGGGCTGATCTGAAGATTCTATTGTACCTCTATTTAGGAATTGTTCGATTAAACTTGGTTTAGCTACTTTAAAGCACTTTGGATAAGCTATTCAAGAAAATTAAAAAGATGCCCCTTAAAAAACCTAATGAACAACGAATTTGGGTTCTTTGAATTTTTGCCAAACATAGCTTATGGGGGTTGTCTGAGTAGGGTCCACCTCTAAAAGCCAAAATTCCTTTCACTTCAACCCTCCCAAATTGGAGTTTGCATCACAAAGAACTTTTGGCATCTGGGGCTGTTTCCCTTTATTTGTTGCAAGACCATGACCATGGTGAAGGCAGTCAAATCCCCGAAGGTCTGAGGAATGGCTGTGGATCGAATTGGCCGCATGAGAAAATAGCAACCAAACCCCATGAAAGGAGCCAATGCTCTAATATTGGTGCCCTAGTTGGCAGATAATCTAGAGTCAGTGATGAAGGTAGCAAACTATCAGCAACTAGTCTAATCTCATGCTACTCGTATGTGTATGTGAGTTTAGATTGGCGCCCCCACAGAGGAGACGGGATCTGTTCCTCACAAATGGGTGCCTCACATGCACATCCACCGTGCATTGGGAACATCTCCCGTAAATAATAATTAATAAGTGCGGGAGATGTTCTCAATGCATGGTAGGATGTGCGTGTGAAGCACCCATTTGTGAGGAGCAGATCCCGTCTCCCCACAGAGCGTATCACACATGTGCGTCTTTACGTGCATTAGGGATATCTCCCTCTCCCGTATTTGTCATCATGAGAGATGTTTTGACGCAGCGTGGAAGCAATGAGAACCGGAGCTGGCTATGCAAGCACCGGGCGTTCGTTAGCACCTAGCGAATAACACCGATTTCTCTGGGAGAGAGAAAAGGTGGCGAAAATAGGAAGAAGAGAACTTGAAGAAATTCTAAAATCTGAAGTATGAATTGATTAATAATTATGGAAAATAGCAGTATTTATAATACATTGAGAAATTATAAAAGAACTAGGAAAAGAAATTAGATTTGATCTAAACATCTCAAACTTGTAGATAGGATCGAACTCTTCTTGACTTGATCTCCCCCGTCCTTGATCTTATCCATGCATGAATCTTGGATTATCTAGAATTCT